CTTTACAACCCAGCACAAGCAGGTTAAACAACTGGAGTGGGCAGAGGAGGATTGTGTGACCCTGCCCCTCCTCAGAAGCTGCATGGTAGACCAGACAACCTGTTCAATGCCCAGCCTGAAAGGACACAAAACCCTGGATCAACACAGTGCTTCTTCTCTAAACATTAACAAAACATCTGAACACTGCATCAGCAAAGGCTGTCAAGCTGTAACTGTTTCTCGCTTTTACTTTACACTGGTGTTTCGATAGTCTCTTTACTGAACAAAGTTACAAAGTGAATCTCTTCATCCTTTAAAGCAGAAAGCACCCAGTGAAGAGGTCTGGACCTTGAATTTGAAGTTCCAAGTCAGTTCTGAGATTTGTGGAAGAGCTGTATGAACCAGTGACACTGTACATACCCATCTAGTGCTGTCTTGGCCTGACTGGCTTCCTCTGACTTTGGAAAAAGATGCTCCATTCTATTAAAAAAAAAAAAAAAAAAAAAAAAAAGGGAAAGAGATAAGAGAAAGAAGAGAAAAAACCCCAAAATTTCAGTTAAATCCTTGTTTTCTTAACCTGACATTCAGGGGCGTTTATCCTCTTTATGGTTATGGCTGGGGTTATGCCTCTGGTCACACAGCCACAGAGCTGAATGTGAAATCATAAACAACTGCTGTGGCTTAAATATATTTAGAAGGACAACTCAAGCCTCAGGGACCCATGCAGCATAGAGTGGTGAGGCCTCAGGTTTCCAAGCCAATGTGCCAGCAAACGTAAAAGAGGAGGATGACAAACCCTGTCAGGCAAATACCACAGGGGCAGGAACAGCGGGATTGTGCCTCCGTCTTTCCAGGTGTAGTCCTAGACAATTCAATTTTAAGGACTGCATTTTCACGTGAGAGGGTCGAGGCAGCTCGTGGCTCAGCTTTTGGCTTTTCAAAAGCCTGAAGCACTTCTCAGTTGTTTAAAAATCAGAAATGGTGAGAAAGAAGTCGAAGGTTGCATCACCAGCTGTCACTGACGCTGCCTTAAAAGCAAAGCCAAAAAACAACTCAAGCCACTTTGCAACCTGCACGGTTCTTCCATTAAAATAATGGGAGTTCCTTTGTTGAATCAGAGTTGCAACTGTAAACTAAGAACCACTAGAGGATTTAATTTACAGTAACATTCACTTCTTTTGCTGTTGCAGAAAATCAATCACCTGGACGTTCGGGGTCAGGTAAAAAAGAGGTACAAACAGCATTCCAGGTTTAAAAGGAATTTAAACTGTGACACCCAGCACTTTAGGAGCACCGAGTCACAAAACCCTTCAGACGACCGCAGAAAAAGTTGGGATTTCTCTCCGTGTTGGAAAACCTGCAGCCAGCAGATGCTGCCTCCCCCCAGCAGAGCCCTGACAGAGCTCGGTGCAATAAAAGCCACCGAGCAACGAGAGCTGAGGGTTAAAAGCCGTGGCAGCTGGAAGCTGGCGGGGGCATCAACCCCTTCGGGAGAAATGGATGGCCCTGGCTGACACAGTGACTCGGATGCCAGGCTGGGAACCCAAGCCCGACTGTAGCCCTGACACCGGACACCGGCCCGGGCTCCCCGCCCGCCCCGGGATTCCCCTCACGGCGCCCGCAGGGAAACGCGGCCAGGCGCCGCGGGCCCTCCCTCACCTTCTGCGACAGGTAGAACTTGTAATAGCAGAGCTGGAAGAGCAGGAAAACCAGGCTGGTCAGCGACAGCAGCGCCAGGACCACGTTCCTGTTGATTTTCTGCATCAGCGCCGGGGCGCACCGGGAGCCGCTGCCCGGCTGCCCTCACGGCGACGCGGCTTCAGGCCGCAAAGCGCGGCCGCAAAGCGCCGCCCGCCGTCGTAAAACAGCCCCGCTGTCGTAACACACCCCCCCCTCCTCACGGGGTCTCTCACCCACCACGAACCCCCCCCCAGAACGCCCCAAATCCCCCCAGAACGCGGCGGCGGTAAAAGGACACAGCGAGAGACACGCACAGGGTTGCAGATTTCTGTATTAGTACAAAACACCGCGTCACACGCGGACGGCACCCCCCGCCTCCCGCTCCCCTCCGGGCAGGGACCCCGCGGTGCGGCCCAGGGATGCTCGGGATCGCCGGGATCACCGGGAATTGCTCCGAAGGAAACCCACGGCCAGGCTGGCCCTGCCACGGGACTCCCAAAAACAGCCAGGCTGGAGCACGACATCAACACAAGTCACGGGCAGCGTCCATCCAACACCCCCCGCTCCTCAAAACAAAAACACGGACAAGCCCAACACCCAGGTGGCTCCACCACCATCTGAAACGTGGGAGATGTGAGGAAACGGGATTTGTACATTAGACCGCTTTTCCTGCATTTCTAAGAAATTAACCTGGCACTTCTGCTCTGCCCGTTTGGTATTTGCAGAAGCATTTATATCCCCTGGATAGTTTGTTGGTTGGTTTGTTGTGGTTTTTTGTTGTTGTTGTTTGGTTTTTTTTGGTGCACTTTTTTTGGTTTTGTTTTTTAAATTATCCTGTCTGACACTGACATCCCTATCTGCAGTTAACACAGTTCTTAAGTTTTCCACAGGACAATGACAGCTACGCTCATCTGATGTATAAATACCTCAACGGAAACCTTCAGTTCCTCAAAAGCAGGTTTTCAGAGTTAAAGTAACTTCAGAATACTGGCAGTCAGTTCTTTAAAAGGAAAAAAAAAAAAATTAAGCATCTCCTTTTGGTCATAGAGCTCCTTTTGGTCATAGAGCAGAAAACTCTTTTTTTGCCACCATGCAGTATTGGCTTCAGAGTAAATAAGCCTGGTGGACTGAACTACAGACCTTCAAAAAATCTTATCCACTGCCAAAGAGCCACCCCTTTCCAAATCCCTGAAAGAGGATTCACAAAGGAAAAGGTAACTCTGCAGGCTGCAGGCATCCCAGTCCAGCTGCAGACACAAACCCTGCACCAACTGCAACAAAAAGCATCACTAGGAGCAATGTGGAGTTGCTATGATGATGGGTACTGGAGAAACACTAGTTCAGAAAAAACAGTCTAAGAAAGAACCATCTAAAGTGCTTAAGGCAATTCTTCATATCCCCATTTACTAAAAAGAGTGGGACTAGATGTTAGCAGCAAAAATTTGACATCTGTGCAAACTAATAACAAATCCAACCTTTTAAGGGTAAAAAGTACATGGTAAGGTTCACCTAGGACACCAGTTAAACCAGAACTTGCAAGTCACAAATCACAGTATGAAACACTCCCAAGCTTTCCTCTAACTGTTAAAAGAAAAGTTACATTTTTACATCGGTGCATACCAAATTCACCTTGCAGGTTACGCTACAACTTGCTAAAAAGGGGGGAAAAAAGAAACAAAAAAAAAAAAAAAGAAAGAAACTTCATAATTTAGATGTTCTTATAGAGGGCTGGAAAACACTCATGGTTCTCACAGCACATTAGTTGGTTGTAAACATCCCCTTTCTTTCCACAAAGGGAAATTTGAAGAGGAACTGCAGCTGAACACCCAAGATCAAGGACAAGTGGATGAGTGGTGACCAGGAGGTGCCAGTCTGCCCTGGTGTCTGTGCACCACAGCCCCAGACCAGAACTGGCTGCAAAACTGAGTTTGTAGCAATTTATCCCCAAGAATTCCTAGTCAGGTGTCCACTGCAGTAAAATGGAAAGAGAAAAGGTTATACACAAGATATTTGCATAACAGTACCATCTGCAGATAATGTGTGAAGCAGATTCAAACACTGCTGACCAAAAACATCATCTCTTTTGAGTATCTTTGTCCCAAAGCCCAAGCAACAGAACAGGCAGAAGAAGTTACACTTATTGTTACTTTCCTCTGCAAAAAGTGATTACAAGTTCACAATGCAAATAATTAAGAGATGCTCGAGTTTCAGATACAAAATAAACATTTAGGGCTCAGCCAAGCTGTCAACTTCAGGATTCCTCAAGAAAAATAACACTTTCCAGAACAGGTAACATTTCACTGTTAATTTTAAATTTTCACTGAACATCACAGACAGTTTATTAGAAGGTGTCTTAAGGAATTTCTCCTGAGAAATTGTGATGGACAGAAAAGAGCCATTGGTAATGCCGAGGCTTAACACAATTAGATACTCATGGTTTCATGGGCTAAAGGATACACAAAAGGAAAATATACTGGCCCAGCAGGAAATGAGCCACATCATTATGGACAATGAATTTATAACAGTTTTCAGGTGATACCAGAAAACAATCGTCAGTTAGGAAACACCTGATTCAAGAGTGTATCTGAAAACTATTTATAGGCTCCTCAGCTTGATCAGAGGGAAAAAAACAGATTAAAAAAGCCTGTAATAACCTAGTAATTCCCACTGACAAGTTGGGATTTTCCACAAAGAATATAACATGATCTTTTTTTCTCATTTTTTAGCTCTCCCATTACTGTGAATCATTTGACTGCTCTTTACTAGCTTCCAAATGGGAGTCAAGGCAATGGAACATCTACACCTGAATTTCTAATGTAACTAGAATGCAATTAATGTAATGGCGACAAACAGGAGCAAATACCAATATACATGGTTTTAAAAAGGAGTTACCCATGGAAAACAGGAAGATTTTATACCACTGTGGGAAATAATCACAGCTTGCTCTTACTGTTTCTTCATACCAGGCCTACACATTCTTGTAATATCCTTCTGAAACTATGCTGCTGTGGTATTTTGCCAGGCTAGGCCAGAAATCAGTCTGTTTTCAAAATGCATCTTGGAAATCACAACCTCTAATGGGAAGCCTAGTAATAATTAAATACACAGCTAAGTAATTTGCATTAGGAGAGCTAAAAAATGGTATTTGTTATATTCTTCATAGAAGAATAGTATTTGTAACAAAATTAATATTCAAGTCCATAACAAAATGCTTGAATATAGTATTAAAAAAGTACATAGTTACAACTCTTGGTTTCTTTCTTTTTTTTTTTTTTTTTTTTTTTTTTTTTTTTTTTTTTTTTTTTTTTTTTTTTTTTTTTTTTTTTTTTTTTTTTTTAATAGGCAACAGCTCAGCTTTCTGACACTTTTTCTGGATTCCAGCACTGGTTCCTAACACTTTAGCCCCAAACCTTTGCACTATCAGTACCCAGGCCCTAAACAGCAGAAGGTAGCAAACACAGCAAAATCCAATGCTCACAAGCTTCTGTGAGTAGAAACTACACAAAAACAAAAACATTCAGCAGTAGAAGTGTTCAACAGACTGCATTAGGCAACATTGTTTAGGCTGCTTGTTGAACCACCCAATCCATTTTCACTCCTCTGAAAGAGTTTTCACAGCACTTGGCACCTGCAATCCAGTGGTCACTGTGAGGCCACCAAACCAGATCTGGGGGGAAAAGAAAAAATCTGCATTAGGAACCAAACACATCTCTCTCCTCCCATCCCACAATTAACTAGCACAAACACAGCTGCATGTCTTCTGTCACAGCCCTCTGTAAAACATTCTCATCACAGATATGCTGATTTTAAGTCCATGAAGTCTAAGATGCTTCACATATTTATAAACTTCATAACTAAGTTTATAACTAAGACCTAGTACTCAAATCACTTCCTCCTAACTAGAAGAATTTTTTGAAGGCAAATGTGCCTGCAGCAAGTAGAATGACAATGAAAAGCAACTCTCACTATGCTCCAGTGCCTCAAAGCAGTGCTTATTTTTGTCATGCTAAAATTATGTCAGCATAAACATATTACAAAAAAAACCCCAAAAAAATCTGAGAAGCTTCAGGGGCACAGGTGTCAATGACTTCTACTCTTCACATGAAAGAATGCTGTATTTTCATGTTTATAAGTAAGTTTGAGAGCTATACTTAAATAGCTTGCCATTTTCACTTGTCCTGTTCAGTCAGTAAGGCTGTTGTCACTCTGTGAGGGGCTGGCTGTGTGAGGTGCAGAGGGACAGCCTGAACGTTGGCAAGCAACTGTTTCCCCAGATGACTTGGGAACTGAATTTACGAGTCAGCCTTTGCTATGCTAGGGAATGGCTAACACATGTATCCCAGTAGTTCTGAAGCTGCTCTTTCCCCACTATGGTAAAAAGGAACAGCAAGGCAAATAAACAGCCATGAAAAAAATCTAGACCTGTTAAAATCCCAGGTCTGCACATCCTGCTCCCAAAGTGTGATGCACTTGATGGCATCTTACAACACAGCTGAGGCTGCCCAAATTAGCTAAAGTAATTACTTAAATCATTAAAGGAAAGCTAATAGTAACTAATCTTTCTCCTGTGTGTTTTGAGGCTTTAACACAGCAGAAAATTGTTGCCAATAATCTTAGAATGACAAAAAATGTTATGCAGGGCACTTAACTGGCAAGAAAATCCCACTGAGCTTTTAAATATTTGAAAGGTGGAAACTTTTTTTCCCACTGGAAAGCATCAGGTGCTATTCTGTCCCATGACACCTGCTTTGATGGCTCAGAGCATCCTGGACTCCATCAGTTCATATCAATTACTGCAGTAGGCTCATCAGCCACTGCAATGTGCTATTAATTTCCTATACACAGATTTAATTGCTTCTGTTTACATAGCTGAGAAACCCAGGTGCAGAATCCTGATGGGGTGCCACTATAAGCACCACACAAAATCCAAAAGAGAACAGTTAAACACTTTTAAAAATTACAAGTCAGCCAATCCAGGTGCTTGCAGTTTCCTCCTTTAAAAAAACAACTAAAATTTAATTCAGTGCTAGAAACTGTAAGATTTTTCTAGTTACTGACCATGAAGCCTGGTAGCAATGGTTGGGTAAACTTTGTTCTGAAGGTGTGTAACAATGCCTTTGAGCTTGCATTATAAAATGAGAGCTGACCTAAGAGAGAGAGAGATAAAGAACAAGTTGAAATTCAGCTTAAAAACAGTTTAAGCTAAGATGCAGTTGCTGTCTAACTGGTACAAAAAAATTGGTTCTTTTCCAGGACACGCTAAGTGCAGTCCACAAGAGTGACAATCACTATTTGCACTGGATTTGAGCAGAAATTATGAACTTACATCATTTGGATCATTTGACAGATGAACTCAGGTCATTTGACAGGACAAGCACTTAGGGTCTGTGCTGTCATGCAAGACTGGATCAGTCTGGAAGTAATGCACTTCCCTCAGCCTTGGTCTGTTCCAGCTCAACAGAAATCATATCTAACTCTTTTTACTAAATCTCTTCATGAGCAACTTACCTCCATCAAAGTCACAGTATACTCCTATTCCATCTGGGATAGGTATATCTAGAGTCTTTGCTTTATTGTTATGCTTTGCTGACAATGTGGCTTGCAGCCAGTTGTTGATATGGATGCACCAGCTGGAATTAGTCTTTCCCAGCTGGTCAAACTTCCCCGGGTTTTTGTACATTACTCCCACGCTGTAGGATTTGCAGTCCTTCTGGGCTCTCACTTCCCAGTAATGCTGTCCACTTTCAATAGCAGTGTCTCCTACCAACAGAAATACATTTAATTACAAGTAAGTGTAGTTAATTACAATTGTGTGTACCCTACAGTGCTGCCTTCCTAATAGGCACCAGTGATGCCATCTCTATTTTATTTTAAGGTAAAGAAATCTGAATTATAAGGAACTAGAAAATTGTACAATAGAATATAAAACAGAATAATGAGACTGTATTTATCTGTGCTCAGTACAACAAGATACATTTAATACTAATTTATGTTTAAAGCAGTGCATGTCAGTCACTAAGAGTTCTGCAATACAAAGAAGAGTTGAATACACAAAATTCTGGTGTTATATGGGCAAACTGCTCCAGGCAGGACAATATTGAGTACACAGCCTTGAACAGTAACAAACTTTCCCTCTAATTCTTGCCTGATCTGCCCTCTCCTGACAGAGCAAACAAGTTCAGCTCACCCAGCACTGTGTAGGATTCACCAGCAAAGCGATCCTGGCTGGCCCTCGCCGAGGCCCTTGGGCTGTTAGTGGATTTATTCGGAGACGCTGTGTTGCTTCTAAAGGAGAGATCAACCAACAAAACTTGGACACGGCCACAGAAGTGCACACTCACGTGTCCCTGAGCCCATCAGGTGCAAGAGGCACACACAAACACTCTAGAAATGACACATTAGTTGATGCTTCTAACAGCGTGCATGCACAACAACTGAGAGGGAAGAGATGACAGAAGAAAACACAGAATGTTTTAAAAGCAGGTTCAGAGGCAGCTGAGAATGGAAACAGAGGCAGGGAAAAAGCAGATGTGTGGCACGTGGTTTGAATTAAACATTTCAGGATGAGCAATCAGTTGTATAAAAGAATAATTTTAACCGAATGAAATTTTCAAACTTTTTTTTAACGGTGGTTAGGCCCTCAGAAATAATTACCAATAATTTAACCATTAAACTGAATGAGGGCTATTTGCAATATTCCTCAGTAGACAGAGAATCACATCTGCTTACTACTTTAAAGGCAATCAGTAGCAAAGAATTCCAACTTCTCAGAAATAGCTGTACAGTTTACAGTTTAATTTTATTAGCAAAAACCCCAAAAAATTATGAAGTCAGTCTCTGAAATATGCTTGAGAAGTAATTTTCGATTTCTCATCCTCTGGAGTCCATCACACATTAGCCTTGGAAGAAATATCATCTACAGAAGAGTTTTCTCTCCAACTGCTTCTTCAGTTACTATTTGGGAAAGCTACTTGCTACTTTTATGTCTGTTAGTACAGTGAAATTCAGCTTGTTTTCTTTCCAATTAATTCACTCTTCTCAAAAACCATTCCAGAAAGGTCTGGGACATGCCCCTTTTTCCTAATACCACCACAAAAAAAAAAGTCACATGGGAATCAAAAGCTAAGTGATACTAAGCTGCCAGATATAAGTATGCCAAGATGTGGCTCATTACCAAGTTTTTTTATTCCATTTACAGAAGCCTACAAAAAAATAAGTGATAAAAAGCTATTTACTCAAGCATCACTATTTAGCATGTAACAGAAGACAACTAAGCTTCCAAATTGCTCACAAGACATACATGAAGGAGGTAAGTGTATATTGTGCAGGTGCACCACATCAATTGCTTTTGGATTTTGTAAATATGGGGGATGCTGCAGTTTACTTACCAAAGGAAAAAGTTAGCAAATGCGAGCATGGAAAAAAAAAAAAAAAAAAAAAAAAAAAAAAAAAAAAAAAAAAAAAAAAAAAAAAAAAAAAAAAAAGGCAAAGCCAAGAATTAAAGCGACATTTCAGAGGGAGGCACTCTGCAGATTCCAACCTGCTTCATGTGCATCAGACATCATCCACTCACATTCCTAAAAAATGCTGCTGAAAATTTTCTATTAGACCCAGTACAAATGGGCTATGCAGAAAGCAATGTAGCAGTGTGGCCATTTAGAGAATCACAATAAGAAAAATGCAGGCACTTTGCTACAATTTTCCCAAGGTTAAGAAAGCATTAAAAACTTCTTGGTATCATTTCTTTTGACCAACTCTGTAAATGGCCACTGCGTGTGCTTTGTCCTCTCAAAATTTAATAGCCTTTATCAGTTCAGAAAATTACATTGACTATTTGACATAAAAGCTGCAAAAAACCAGTTGCTCAGGCTTTTTTTCCTCCACAGTGCTTACACCTCCCTTCCAACGGAAGGCAGCAAATTTCATAGCAGGAAGTCACTTTCATGCCTGTTTTGCAGTAGAGCACAGTCCTTATTATCCAGTAACATTTCTTCCAATATTCAGTGGCCAGAGATTCTTGTCTCATGGTTTAGGATTGTTGCCTACAGCACTGCAATTAGTTCCTGTTTCCTCATTCATTTCAGAATATACTCCACACAACATGTATTCTCTTCTGGAGAAGTCAAGGAAGGAGATCAGAAATTACTGATCTTTTAAGGTTTAATAAATGAAAGATAATTAAGAGTTTTGTTGCCATAGTGTATTTCCAACTCTTAAAAATTGCACATTTTTTGTTTAAAATTACTATACTACAAATTTTTCCCCCACCTCCCATGGAGCCAGCTCCCACAGAGCCAGCTCCAAATTTCCCTTCTAACGTAGGTATCTCAAAGATATTTTTAGGTGGGAATAAAAACCTCCTACAAGAACAAAGCTCATCTAAATCCCCTGCTAGAAAAGGTCAGTCTGAGATGCAAAGTTGAATATGTGACTTCTCCCTCTACCAAAGCAGAGCCAAGAACTAGAGAAGTTCTCTACTGACAGCTACAAAGAGAGACCAAGGTGTAAAATTCTCTGAGCTGAACAAGTAGGAACATGTCCAAGACATTTTTCAATTTAGTTTAGCACAAATTGCTATAATTTGTGTAGTAGAACAATTGAAACTGAATGGCTTCAAGAGCTTATTTTGCTTTTTACATAAGCTTTTCTTTACTTCTGTTTCAAATCAGATACACCTCACAGATAAGCAACAGGTGAGTAAAACCTGTAAGAATTTAGTCCTGGCCATTTCTTTTGGTCCCACAACTTCTACACCAGCAAAAGAGAGCAAGATATCAAAAACAGGAAAAGTATTTTTGTAAAAAGGTGTTTCACTAGAAAAACAATGAAAAATGTGACAGTGAAAAAACATAACTGCAGAAAGAATAGGAGGATATTTTACCTAACTTTACATCTCAAAAAAAAAGGATTTCTCATTCAAACACTTGGTTCTGCACTTGGAATGGCCATGAAGGTTTTAACATATGCTTCATCCTCTTCAAACACGTAAAAACACTTACTTCCTACCTTCTAATGTCTAGTAACAGCTACAGCACAAGTTCAGAAGCAAGGAGGTTTTTGAGGTTCAAAAATAAACACCAAAAATTATTTTAAAGTTCTCAGAAAGGAGACCTTTATCATATTTGTAAAAAATTTGCCAGAGGGTTAAAAGAGCATCAATATATCTGTAAGTAACAAGGATCTTTGGATCAATATTAAAATACACAATGCCCTTCTGACCGCTGCAAATCAGGTTTCATTCACAACAGGATGAATCCTTCCAGAAAGACTCTTCTCTCTGGAGCATATATAATTTCTATGAATCCAAATCACACTGCAAAATAACTTCTAAGTGCACATGTGCACTGTTACTGATAGAGGCTATTAGACTTGTTTCTCATGACATCAAGCAAAGGAAAATAGCACAGATTCCCAACAAAACTAGGTGCTAGATCCTAGGAATAAGAAGTATATTATCACCTTCTATTGCTCTTCAGCAGAGGATTCTGGCCACTGTCGACAGAAATAAGTAATAATTAAAGAACTGTTCTATCACTACAGTAAGTTATCCCCAGTTTTACAGTGCCAACAGGAGCTATTCTATCACACTCATGGCAATATATGCCTGTGGAGAATGTATTTATTTGTTCATAAATTATCTCAAACTGTGAATATGGAAAGCCAATAAACTGAGTCTGAGGGAGCAGCCAGTTGTGTGGATCCATTCCCACAGAGTATCCCCAGAGTACAAGAGGTGAGGCACAGACTGGGAGTGGGGCCTGGGCTCTGCACAGATCCAGCTGAACCAGGCTCACAGCCCTCCAGGTGAGGAAATTCCACCCAGCAGGACAGACTGGGGGACACTCAAGGAAAGAACAGCTCTGCAGAAAAGCCACTGAGAGAGAGTCGGGGAAGCAGAAGCTGACAACAGCAGTGCCCTGTGCCCTCCTGGCAGAGGTGGACAGCCACACCCAGCCTGCAGCATGCCAGGAGCCCAAGACAAGTGAATGCTCCTCTCCTTTTGGCAGCTGGGCTCCTTGGATTTACACCCTGACATACCCAGAGCAAGTCTGTGGAGAGCCAACACCACAGTTAAGGTCTGGGGCACAGAAAGACAACTGGGTTTGCTCTGCCTGAGGAACACAAGAACCAATTGCTGTCTTAAATGAGGTAACAGCAAGGGGAGCAGAGAAGATCAAGCCAGGCTGTCCTCACAGGGGGTGCACAGGTGGCCAAGAAGCACCTGGGAGTCACCGCACCACAGGGAATTCCAGCCAGGTACCAGGATATTCCTCCCCTCCCATAAAAGTGGCCTGGAACAGAGGGCTAGCAAGTTAACACATTCCTTATCCACACATTCTTTGTCCTTGGAAATATTCAAGGCTCTGCCAGAGAAGACAAAACTAAACATTCTTCCAACTGTGTTTATCTAATGACTCAGAATAGCAGACGCCAAACAATCTACCCAACGCTTTGCTGAAGTGCCTTTCCTGGATGAAAGCAGTATGTTTAGAGCAGCCACATCCACAGTAGTTATGTTGCTTTATCCATTACCTTTTGCTGTCTATTTTATTTTATTGGTACTTTTTCCCCTCCAGTGAGGGTGTGAGATAACTTCAGACACCGCCTACATATAATACCAGTTTTATTTAACCTCTTCTTTCTCAAAAGGACAAGGCAGTCAGCTAGTTCTTTCCTTATTTTTTTAATAGTAGAAATGCTGTCTATTGACCAGAATTGACCTGCAACATTAGTAAATACAGAATTACATCAACTGCCTGTTCACCTTATCTACTGCCCTGGCCTTATGTGGCAAGGTTTTGGTACAAGGAGAAGGAGAAACCATAGAGCAGGTGGGTGGGCACCTGTATGTAGCCAGGGTCAGTCCATCACAACTACACTTCAGCTCAGTACACTGACACCCTAAAAATGCATTTTTAAAATAAATAAATATTATTTAACAACTATGACACAATTCTAGCCTCTACATCAGTGTGACAGAGGAAGGAAAATTTAAAAAATTAAAATTTCTTCCAGACAAACATTACAGAATGAAAATTTCTCTCATGTCCCACTGTCCCCAAGTGCTTTAATTCCTGCCCTCTTCCTTTAACTCCCAGAAGAGATATGCCAGACATTTACAAAACAGAGTTCTTACCTGTTTTTATTTTCCTTCCCTTTTATTTTTTCTTGGTTTTTGCCTCCAGTAGAATCCCATTCAACATAGGTGTCTTCAACTTTCAAGTTCACATGAGATGAAGTACTGTCCAAACTGAACACAAATGCTGGTCAAGACAAAATAGAAAACAGTGAAATGACAAAATGGTTATTCAGAGAAAATGACAGAAGCACGAGTAAAGTTGTCACAGAGTTTTACTGAGCACAATGGAAAGACCAGCTTTTGTCTGACATGTGGAATCAAAAAAAGTAATACAACAGGCTCAATTACCTAAATATATTTACAGACTGCTCTTATAAATGTCCTGATATCATCAGGTATTACAGTCTGACCCTGAAAGAACATAAACTTGAGATTTTAGAGAGTTTAGAGCTCAAAAATGCATAGATGTAAGCAAGTCAGGTTAAGCACATAGACAGGGCATTGATTTGGGTTGATTATTAAAGAAAGTGAACTAAGTGTTCACTCAGGAATAAAAAAATAATATGAGGAACATGGTAACTGCCCAGACAATCAAAACCAGAATTACTTTTCTGATACTGGACTAGGGAATTCTGTGGCTATTAAACAGATACTATGTCTCTGACACTGACTGTTGCTTAAGAGTATTAAAATAATTATAGAAAAGTTACCAGAATGCTCATCAGCTCATTCAAATTCTATACAGCTTTATTCTTATGAAATAAGATTCAAATGGAAGACAATTTATACTTATATAAATTATTCAGTTGATAACAGTCATTTTTCCCTTTATACCATACCTGGATGTAAATCAAACCTCAGGATCATTCTCTCACCTTAACAGCTAAATTTGTGTTCTGTCACAAAATATCCCTTCCAAGAAATCTCTTTCAGTTTATTTACAAATTGTTAGGAAGCCACTCTATCAATTTGCATATCAACTGACTTCTAACATCATGACCTTAGGCAATTTGAAGCTGCCAGCTTTTCAAATATTGACAGTGAATAGAAACTGCAGCTATAAAGTCAAGAAAACCCTTTCCAGCAACTTCTAGTCACAGAACGCTGTCTGCCATTAATAACAGGATAATCACATCAACTCTTTAGATGCCCAAAGAGTCATCCACATCATTCATCTTTCTTCTTGCTGTATGCTGGCATCATGCAGCACCACATGGAACTGTCACTCCACAGTTCAAAACAACCAATGCCAAGCTTTTGGAGAAAGTGACATTAACTGCCCCATTTTTTCAGGGTGTAAATGCCAAAAGGGCAGCTTTGTAACAATAAGCTTATTAATCCTTTACAGTTTTTTCCCTTTCCACTTAGGAAGTGTTTCAGCAGGGCTCATGCAGAAGCAGACTGAACATAACAGGTTCAGGATTTTCACCACAGATAAGGTTCAAGAGTTTTTCAAATTTTACCTTTGGTTTCCAGAGTCACAGGGTCGGAGTATTCACCTGCCGCTGCTTTGTTGCAAGCTTGTACTCTAAGGTTCATGTATTTTGTATCAAATTTCAAACCTAAAAAGCAAATGTTTACAAATTTGAAATTGTCTTGATTACTGATGACTCTTCCAAGACTAAGATCTATCCCCATGTAGCTATCTTTCATTTATCTCCATCTGCAAAAAACATGCTTGAATAGCAGTGTGTACTTCATTTAACAAACAACTTTTGATAAAAATCTCGAAGTCAAAATAACAGACAGAACTGTTATTGTACAAAGTACCCACAACTGATGCGATACAATGGCAGCTTCATTACATGCAGAAAAATGGGTATTCTGCATAACTTACAAGCATAAAGAGTTATATCAGTATTCTTGGGTTTGAAGTATAAAAACCTTTACCTGACAATGTGTATTGAGTAGCTTTAATGTAGTCAACCAGCTCCCAGTGCTGTTCCCCTTCTAGTCGTGGGGGCCCATCAAAGTTGGTTTTCCTATACTCCAGCACAAAATGATCAATTCTGCTCTCCTCATCAGGCATTCTCCATGATATTGTTATGCAGTTGTCAGCAACCAGACATGCTGCTACATCTATCTCTGGAGCTTTAGGGACTGCAGAAAGACAAGCACACAGGTCAGTTTGAAAAAGAGAAGGCTAGTGTAGAGTGGACTTACAATTATGAACCTACATTTGGAATAAACACCACACAGAAAGAGCCCCAAGAAGCAAACTTCTGCTCCTGTATCTGTGGAAGGTAAGTTCAGCTGCACCCCACACAACATCACTTATATTTATTTCCATCACTAAAGACACTAATATTTTCCACTAGTTTCTCTTCAGTTACTGAGTTTTCTTTTCTTTTTACCCTTTTGTCTTGAAAGGAGTGGGCAAACAGCTCCTAAGTTCCACTAAAGACTGAAGTTTTGTTTATAGGCAACAGTATTCTACCTCCATGAAATCAAACAGCACTTAAGCCTGTGGAAAAGAAGTTTGGGGAAAAAAAAAAAGGCATTTACATACTATTTGTAGAATCTAAAGGACATGCAAGGAACACTTTTCCTGCAGGAAATTAAAAAGTTTTATTGTTTTCAGTTTGAGCTTTTGGTATCTGAGTAATTTAGACGCACAGTACTATAGCAGAAAAAGGAAGAAGATTGATATCCAATCAATTTTCCTCTTAACAAATCAGAGGCCTAATTCAAAATCCTATAAATTTGACAAGGAAAAATGTATAAGAAGAATCACACTAAATAATACCTATATCTAGATGCAAAACTTTATTCACACTTGCTGTTAGGTCTTTGCACTCCCATTGCTGTGCATTGTGCACTCCCATTAAACAGCTGCACTGTGAAAAGCAGGGCAGTAATTGACACCCAGAGCCCAAGACTAGAAAGTGAATTTCTGCCGGGACACTGCCAGCTGACCACTAGGAATTACAGTGGTCATTTACTACACCTGCTACCACACACTGTATCTGCAACACATGAGGCAGAAATGAAAACCAATGCTGCCAAGTCCTTCACAGATTTGGATTCATGACTAGAGATGAAACAACTTTACACCCCTGCCAGCAGTGTTCTTGTCAATATGTTCTCAGTGACAGCCAAGGGCAAAGTGTTTTCAAGTGGAAAGCAATAGGATTAAAAACGCATGAAAGATACACACTGGGCTAATTCACCCAAGTTTACTATCGAACAGGAAGAGATGGATTAGTACACCATTTGTAACATGGTAATATCCCTGTACTAGTGGACTGTCCCTCACCTGCATTTCAGACTGTGTCACCACTCTTGTAAGCAATGTGTAAGTTTACAGTTCCAGACAACACTCATGCACATGAGCAGGACTTTGGGGTGTCACTAAGATTCAAACTGGTATGGACACTCCTAAGAAACCTCAGGTAACTTCACAGAGTATAGAGGAACTGATAACTCCTGAAAACACATGGTCCAGAAGACTCACTCTCACTTCTGAGATCAACACTGTTTTCCAAAACAGTGTCTTGTGTAGAAATTAACACACCGAAACTAGAAAAGGCGTCCAATTTAACATTCAGTGAGTAAGAATGTGTTTAGGTACTCTGAAAAATTTGCTTATTAGGGTGCAAGAGGTGTAATTTGCTTTTGTTTGGTTGGTTTAAATATAGCAACCTGTTCACATACCAACAAATTAAACTCACTGAATATAGTTTTTACCTGGCAAAAACTTCAGAGCTTGGAGCATCTGCTTTGCCAGGGTGAAGTCCACCATCATATGAGTCATACTGTCACTGACTTCTGGTTCCAGAGAGAGGCGGAATGATGAAGCCACCGCGACTCTGAAGCCAAGAAAGCACCATTAGCAAAATGTATTTCACTTTGTCAGTTCCTAAATCCCATTTTCCAAAACAGCAATCAGACAATCTGTATCACTGGAGTCAAACTACTGATCAAAGACTGGAACATTTTTCTAACACATAACTGTTTACCATTTAGCACACTCAAAATATAAAGTTTTACCAATGTGACTGTCTCAGAATAATGGTGTGAGCTACCAGCTTTCCATATCACTAAGCAAATAAATACTAATGAGGTGACTGAAGATAAGTTTATAACTTCTTACTAGTGACAGAAAACCTGGATAAGAAACAAAACAAAATTCACATCACTTGACAAAAATTCAGCAAGTATGAGCAGTTTGGAGTTGTGCAGACTCAGGATCATGTTCATGCATTTCTAAACAGAATTAACAAGCTGATTTTATATCTATCTATTACCTTACCAGGGAATTAAGAGATTATTCAAGCTGCAAATTGGAACATGCAAGCACCAGACCAGTTTTACAAGATACACTAAACACTGAAGACCCTTAATTCAAAGGAAATGCAGGGTCCTGCACCTGGGCAGGAATAACCCCAAGCACCAGCACAGGCCAGGGTGATCTGGCAAACAGCTCTGCAGAGAAGGACCTGGAGGTCCTGGAGGACAAAGAGCTTCCTGACCAGCAGAGTGTCCTGGGATCCTGGAGCGCACTTGGAAGGACACTGCAGGGAGGGATCCTGCCCCTCTGCCCAGCCCTGGGAGGCACCTCTGGAGTGCTGTGCCCAGCTCTGGGCTCCTCAGGGCAGGAGGGACACCGAGCTCCTGGAGCAGAGCCAGCAAAGGCTGTGGAGGTGACGAAGGGCCTGGAGCATCTCCCTCACCAGGAAAGGCTGGGGAAGCTGGGGATGTTCAGCCTGGAGAGGAGCCCCAGCTGAGAGGGGCCCTCAGCCCTGGGTGTCCCTGGCTGCAGGACCCAGCAATGGCAGCAGAGCAACGGGCAGGGGCTGAGCCCAGGAAGCTCCACCTGGACCTGAGGCAGAATTTCTTCTCTGTGCAGTGACCGAGCCCTGAGCAGACTGACCAGAAGGGCTGTGGAGTTTCTCTCACTGGAGATACTCCAGAGCCTGGACACAACCCTGTGCCACGTGCTCTGGGATGATCCTGCTGGAGCCGGGAGATGGAGATCACTGTGGTCCCTTCCAACCTGACCCATCCTGGGATTCTGTGATGCACACCTCCCATTTCCACTCCTGAAATCTTAGCCAAGTACTATTATGAACACTCCCAAGACATTTTTCTACTCCAACTACACTACCAAAACATCCCCCTCAAAAAAACAAGGCTCTCATGTAATTCTCTAACGTTGAAGATACCAGACCATGAAGCAGATTTTGACAGCAACATTGATTCAGACAGCACAGAGATCCCAATTCCTCCCTTGAAAACTATTCTCAACTACAAAGTAATATATACAACACAAAAGTCAACTGCCAAGACTGGAATCCATTTTACACCCACTGATGTGTGGCACCTTTAGAACACCTAATACATATCCATTCCTGCACTCCACCAGTATGTAAGAGAGATTGTATGCTAACCACAGATACATCAAAGAACACTGAAAACCAAAAAAAATCTGGTTGTGTGGAAGGAAGAAGAAATGTAAAATTTAATATTAAAGATATACGCAAGTCAGGAGTGATGAGCTTTGCAATTTTGGGGTATGAGACAATTATGAGACTGAGCTGAACATCATGAAAGACAATTCAATTGATTTCCCAGGACAAAACTCACACTCTGAAATTCAGTATGGACTGCCCAGCACATCAATGCTCAGCCAGATGGGTAGAGAAAATCCCTCCTTAATGAAGAATAATCCTCTGATTAGCAGGAGGGAACAGTGGGCTTCACACAACTTTTCAACTTCTGCTCAGACATGTCTTGGACAGAGGACCACAAAGGATTTGGTGATAATTCCAAGAACCCAGAAGAGAATGCTTATAACTAACAAAAAGTATTAAACAGTCCCATCACTGATACTATCCACTCTCCCTCTGCCCTGCTAAGGACACAAAATTTTTACCTTTGGAAGAGCAAAGATTAAATTAAACTAACAATTACTCATTTTACACAGAAGTTCAGAGAATTTAGTAAATCACAGCCTTCACTGAGAAACCTGTACATTGAAAGCCAACCTATTTGGTCCAAAAAAGCAACAACATCCTGTGAGCTACTTCTCAAAATATTATGTACATCATAGAATGCTTTCTGTACCAGAAGGTCATACTCTTGGAATAGAGTTAACATCCTTCCAAGTGAAGAAAATGGCCTTAGTATTGATTTTGAAACAGCAAAGTTTTACTTCTTAAACAATTGTTCAAAGAAAAGCTACCAGAAATAACAATTTCATGGTCATTAGTGTCACCAGAAGTATTCCAACAGCCACAAGACCTCTTATATTTTGAAGGAAAATTAGCTAGCAAAAGTCTTTAAGTACTTTAAAAATAAAAAAACCAAGATTCTCTCACAACTCAAAGGGGCAGAGTCAGCTTGAAACATCACTAAATTCCAGCTGCAAGGTATTAATAACAAGCTTATTAACAATAATAATTATATATATTCAAAGACATAATAATTGCAGCAGTAGTTGATGCAGAGCTCCACTTCCCTGCATCAAAAATATCTTTTTATTTAAAGTTATGGAAAAACCATACTACATGAGCAGCATAGAAGTTTTTAGTTCCCTCTCAGAAGCTGACTCTTTCTAACACTTAGAAAAGAGTCAATGAATTTGATTAAAGCTGACTATGGCCCTTTTACAGTAAATGCATTTTCAAGCAAAAAATTAATTCAAAGACACGACAGTGATAGATTTTGTACTGTACCTATCTTTGATCTGTCTGGCAGCCTTGATGCATGTCAGGGAGAAGAGAGAGAAAGTAGTTAGTATTTCCATGCAAGTATCAATGGCAGTAACATGCAAGAAGGCAAAGTACAATCTCTGCTGCATTGCCCAGATTTCAAGTTCAAAATGAGTTTAACATTTTCATCAAACTGTCCTGTGAAGCATGTTAATAGCATGGGTTAGCACACATACACTGTAATATCTGGGGGTAAAAAAAACAGAACCACACCAAACCAATTCCAAATTAATCAACTTTCTGAGTGTGATCTTGTATTTTCAGATTTCTCTTAATCAGTTAGAGTTACCCTCCATGGCTTTTTAAAAGAGCTGCAGGACCAAGCCAACGTTATTTAACTGCCATGGTATTTTCTGAGAAAGTAAGGAGTGCTTATCTGTGGCATTAACCATGCCTGACTTGCTGAACTACACACCACAGCATGCATGCCCAGATAAATAAGAAAAAAATAGGACTTATCCTAACTTTTCCTCTGAAAGTTAGGAAGTGTTGTTGGAAAAGTGCAATAAAAAAATCTGTATGTCAGCATTCAAAAATGACAGCAAGTAGTTCTTCTCCAATAATAGCACTAAAGCAGATGCAGAAGTGATGACCTTTAAAAGATCAACCGGCACGTGGAAAGACAAAAATCTCTCTCCTTCAGCAGAAGGAGCTGCAAACCTAAGACAAAAGATTATTGCTGAAGTAGTGAGGGCTTGGTTGTGTCTGTTGAAGCCGTACTTCAACACTGCTCCTTGATCCAGTTGCTCATTCAGATGAATTATCTTCCCTTTCAAAGAAACAAGGATCATCAGGCAGCTTTCCAGTTTGAAGTAAAAACTAAAGAACTTCCCAATTTCTGTCTAAATACAAATCACATTGAAAAAATAAAGAAGAAATCAGGCTTTCCCTGCTACAAAACTGATTATATATTCCTAAAATGGGAAGCAGAAAAAAACCAAACCAAGTGTTAGAAATAATTTAGCTTAAGAGGTAGCTTAGCTTTACCTCAAAACAAAGTTACTGTAGGAACTACTGACTGACTTTCCTACATGACATAAACCAGAGATACTTCCCAACAAAATCCTGAGTTTCATCTCCAGGTCTTGTAAAATATGAGGTAACCAGGACTCAACGTCTTCTGCAAGACATTCCCAGCTTCACTTCACTGACTTTAGTTTGCTTCCAGGCTACTAACAGAGAAGGATCAGCCCATGCCAGAGCAGCTGCCCAGCAGTGTCTGGTCACATGCTGCCTAAACACTGAACCCTCCTGCAATATGCCACTCATGTTCCTTTGACTTCCAGGTAAATCAACTTCAAGAATAAAGCCACAAAAATAAAACACAGGGAAAAAAAAATTAAATTATTTATGCTAGTTGTTCCTGAACTGATTTACTGGAGTATCCAAAGAAAATTTGTGAATATACAAGAGTCAGGGCTGGAGCTGCCCCTTCAGGAACACTTGCTATTCCTACCAACAGAGTAATAGAATTAGCTGCCTAACAGCCAAGGCAATATTACCTTAAAATGTCATCCCCAAATGCACAAGTGCAATATCAGTATCAAATCCCACATATTACAGTTTACTAAATTCGATTTTTCTTAATCTTCAGACTCCAAATCTGAAGAGGTTTCCCCCTAGCAAATGCTCAGACAGCTTTCCTTGGTGTGTTTAGAAAAAAAGCACTAGAAAGATCTGAAATAGAACAACTTCCAAAAATGTTAAAGCTGCATTTTGCACAGGGTTCAAGAGCTAACTAAATTTTTTGTTACAAGGCAGAAAGGACAACTCCAGCTGAAGAAAAATACTGTTTAGGAACTGCTGCTCTTCAAGGCAATTAATCAAAGCTAACACCCAGAAAGCACAACAGCAGACAAACATGCACCCAAAAGGTAAAGCTGAAACAGGAAGACAGCTTTCCCCCTCGCCCTTTTAAACCGATTTGTGTCTTTTAAAATGTAGAGAGGAAAAAAGCAACTGGGCCTTGGATTTGGTGCGGCTGATCCCACTGCTACCACCAGGATTACTGTAGCAAGTATTAGTGTACTGATTCAGTGGATATGTGGAACTGGTTCTTTAATTTGCAACTATATTCTTCCAGTTAGTTACATGTTACTTCACCCTCCCTTTCTGGGGTCATCAGTGCAATTTTACTTAACAATGATAGTTGTCCAGGAGAAGGAATTTTATTCCTTCCCCATCACCCTGAATAAGAAAACAACCAATTTGTTTTACCAGAAATAGCATAAAAATTCAGGACTACAATGTTTAACTTGGTTTTTCAACAAAGCAATAACTGTATTTTTATGTGCCGCTCTATCCTCACTCTAAATACACCTGGTAAGTTCACAGTGTCCAGGAGACTAATGCAAAGGACATTTCAAATCGAGACAGATGTCAACACCTGCCTCACACACATCCAGGCAATGTTTTCTACCTCTAAGAGCTCCACGGGGTTATTTATGTCCAGTGACTTCATAGCAAGTTCCAGCAGCTCTTCTGAGTTCTCCAGGGCACAGCTGCACTGCTTCTGCTGATCCTGGAGAAAAAAACAGAAAGAATAATGTGATGTATTCCCACCAAAACAGCAGTTTGTGAGGAGCCAGTCCTAGTAACTACACAGGTTTGTAATGCATTTTTGACAACTTATTCCCTTATATAACCAAGGCCTCTGACAGTGCCCTCACTTCACTATGCTTAAAAAGTGCATAGTGATATTTGGCACATCCTACAGCTCCAAGGAGGGCGAAAGCTGAAATCTGACTTAAAAGCCAGATTTAATTTCAATGTCCTCTTTCCCCCAGCTTCAGGGTTTCAGAAAGCAGAGAAATAAACACTTATATTCATGTGCACTACAATTTCTGTTTAAAGGAGTGCACTTCATCACTGAATGACTGAGTAGCAATAGCCTTGAAAAAGGCAGCGACTTTACCAGCTCTGGAACTGTCATAAGACAATCCTGAAAATCAATATTGCTGTGTAAAAAATGGGGCTAGCGTAACAGGAATAAAGGAAGTTTAAAAATGCTTCTTTGCAGCTGCAGAATTTTTTCAGGTGTTAATTTATGTACCTCCAGAGCTTGAATTTTACGAGCTTCTTCTTGCTGAATAGCGTTGACCATGCTCCCCTCCATCTCATGTAGGACAGAACACAGACCATCAAATTCCTCATCCAGCTCGCTGATGGCATGAGAGGAGTTTACCTGAGAGGAGAATTGAAAATGCTGTTTCAACTGGAAACAATGCCAGGAAACCGAAGGTCACACAATTCCCCAACAATGTTCTGCCATGACCTTGTGACTGCTTCTCAGCTTATCAAAAAGGGAAAAAAATATTAGGAATTATCAGTCTCCTAAGCAGACTCTACATCAGGACACTAAATGCTGCAATCTGTGAAAATTCCATGATACTCAAACTTGCACAAAACCAGCACACTTGGCAACTTTGTGCCATTCCGAAAGCCTTGATTTTCCTCACACAATTGTATATGGATTGCTAGATGTTTGGAAGGAGGAAGTTGCCCAGCTCCAAACAAAAATATTTCACCCGATGCTAAAAACTGCACTCAAGAAGGCAGGTTTAAAGATTTGCTAGATAATTGCCATTTCTGAAGCCAACCTGACTCAGCTTTAAGACGAAAGAACTTTTGGCTGATTGACAGGCTGAAGGAACCTAAACCTCATCCTCATGCAGATGCTCTAACAACAGTGTCTAACCCTAAACTTGAGCCCAACAATTTGAAACTGGTGAAAAGAGAAAGACTAAAGAATTTTCTCTCAAATACCATTTTTCAGTCCGCCAAACAGAGTAGAAGTCTGAAAATACAGACTATTTCCAACTAATGGCAGACTCAGATCTTGCATCAGATTAAAGATGATCTTTCCCACACAAAGTTCTACAAAACCTCTGCACACAAAATGCAAGGCCACCACAATTGTCATCTAGAGACAGAGTTAAAAAATAAAATGTTTTTCTATCTAGCTCCAACATTAAGATGTATTTTGAACTGTATTTTGAACAGCCCATCCTTTAGACACTACACAATTTGAGACTAAAAAAAAGTGCAAAGTTGCCCCCTTTCAGTACAAGCTATGAACCTTAAAAAAATTACCTGAATATTTGATATTGTTTGCTTCAGCATGTCAATGAAGCTGTGAATTTCATTCTTTTTGTTCACTAGAGCACTGACAATCCTCTGCAGGGTCTCCTAGAATTACAAAAAAAAGCAAGAGAAGCTGTAAAAAATTTTCTTGCAATATTTTTCAAATCATCACCATTTCAACATGGATGAAAATTCATCACAGGCATTCCAGCTGCAGCAAATTCAGTTCTGATGGGATCAGAAAATGCATTTTTTTCAGGACAAAGAAAGAGTATTAAACCTCTAGGAAGCATTCCACATAATTAAAGGTCTCCAGGTGTTAGTCTGAGAGAAATCAAGAACCTTTATGATACCCCACTGTTTGATATGTTTTTCTACATAAGTCACCTGCACCAAAATACCCACTGGCACCACAGCTTCTCCAGATGAAAATGCTGGTGCTTGTGCAGCCAAACAGAGAACCAATAAAGAAAATTTTAAAAGCTGAAAAAAGGAAACCTAAAAGAAAAGCTGGTATTTCCTCATGTCAAAAGAAGCTAGTGTGAAATAACCAGGCTGACAGTTTATGCGGAATAAATCTGTAAAAGTGATTTGTAAACTTATTCTACAAGTGGGAAAATGTTTTGGGTGAGCAATTTCTATATTCTGATTAAAACTGACCTCAAAGAGGAAAGCTTACTGACAGTTGAGAAAGAGAACTAAGGTTATTTCAGTGATGTGCATCCCAGCTTACAAAACACAAACCAAGCCAGCAAAAGTATTATTTTAAATTAAATAAGACCACCAAGTCTAATTTTGTTGAGCAGCTACTCACATATTCTAAGAATTTGACAAAAAAAATATTGCTTGCTACTTAATTTTAAGTAAAGTTGTATTGTTCAAGAATTTTAAGAAAAGTTGTATTATTAAAGCATATCAGGATATGTAAGTAAAAATAAAGGATAAGATGGGGAGTTAACTAAGAATTGTCTGTAATTTAACTCAGGCTGGCTGACAAGAAGTTTTAGAAGCAAATCTAACTTTAAAAAGACAGGTAAACATTGTCTTAATCAATACAGTACTAATATGCTGATCCAGAGTTTCAACAGTTCATCCTAATGTTGTTACTTGATAAAATTCAGGAAACCAAGGCAGAGGGAGATAAAATACACCTTGGAAACAGCCAAAGAGATTTTGCAGAAATTCCTCCCAAAAGCAATTTCTTAATAACCATGTACTACCTAGATCACATTTGTTTGCTCAAAAGCAAGAAATGTTTTATCCTTTCACAACACCCAGAATGAACCTCAACACTACACCAGATTTAAAGAACTTCTCCCCTAATGCTAAACTGTTCTCCTTCCTCTTTCCTTTGACACGTTCCTGGGTAGTTGCCAAAACATCTGTAATAAGATATTTATGGGTACTCCAGCCCCTGCCTGTTTAATAGTGTCATACTCAGGAAGTTAAACCACAAGTAGAAAAAACCAAATTGTAGTGCTTTTACCACAGGTGTTGATGGTGTTACACACAGAGGTAACAGAGCAGACAGCAATGTCTCAAGTCTGGACTCTGGGGGAACAGAAACAAGACCTTGGCTTCTTACAGAAACAGGCACAGAAAATCTTGACCACTTCATTACTGAACCTTCACCTCGCCTGGTGAAAACTGAGCATGTTTGAAGGCAATTCTGTGCACATCAGAACACCAGATGAATAGCCATTGTCCAGCCAGCTGCTTCTGCGTTCACCACTGACCAGAGGCAATTGTTGCCACAGGCCAGACAGCCTGGAGATAAGCCTTAGATCCTATGAGCACAACTGTCAATTTGGATGAACACGGAAAACTCACAATCCTCTTTCAGCACGGATCTTAGGACTTACTCGGCTGCAACACATGGAGGAAAAGTGTTCTTGTGTGCAGGGCTCAACAGTGCTGCTCGGTGTTACAGCTACATCCTGGTTAAAGGAAAATATCTACATGTCAGGAACATTTAAAAGGTCTTTACACATCCAAATGCATGGCAGCAACTGCAAGGCAGCTGTTAAACCAGATTTTCACCTAAAGTTACATTTAGCTGACTACATGTGGTTTGTTATGGCTCTTTTTAAGTAAGCTACCCATTTCTCTGTTATGAAATTCAACCAAGTTGGGTGAAATTTTAATGAGTTTGAATGCTCTTTAAAATTAACCACCAACAGTAGACAGTATTTTTCTAAAACACCAATGCACAAACCACCAGAACAACAAAGGCAGCTTTTAGGAACTATCTTTATTCAATTTCCCAACATAATTTTCTCTTCACGAATATGCACTAAATAGATTTCCTTCCAGACACTGCATACATGCCAAATTAAAAACATGCTGCAATGTTTCCATTTCTTCCTTTAAGGGGAATTTCTGAAAAGCCAGTGTAATTTCAGGGAATAAAGGGTTCTAGAAAAATTACCAATGTAAGCAGCAGATAAGGCCTACATTCTACATTAGTTTATAGAAGAATTTCAACAGCACTAAGCCCAGTAGAGTTTCTTGGTATTTCTGCACTAAAGGACATTTAATTCTGTTGCCCACTGATGAATGCAGTGTTTCACAGACTTCTGTTACAAGCAATTCTCTCTGACCTCTATGTGAGGTCAGTTTCAAATGGATTTTCAAAGCATTATGAAATGTTTATTACAGAGCTAATTTTCGCTGCTGCCACTGAGCTTCATGATGCTTTTCCCTTTTGTGTCCTAATCTCACTCTCTGAATCAAATGCATTTTGCTGGGAAAAAAAAAGAAAAGAAAAAAAACCCAAACATGCCACTGGTAAAGCAAGAGTGTGGATGAGCAAAGGATGAAGAGTAAAAAAGGCCAGAAAAAATAAAGCGAAGCCCTACAAGACGTAGTTTGTAGTGTTGCCAGGTGGATAAAAACATCCACCTTCAAAAGCGAGTAACTAACATGACATGGCACCTCTTGAAGCAGACAGGCACCTAGAAAAAACTGAATTTTGATACATTAAACAATCACAGCAATGCTGCATAAGAAACAAAGTTGATCAAGTTCATACTGAAGGCTCATGAGCTGACTGCATGCAGAACAATTTCTGAAACAGTCCTGGATCTAGGACAAAACCAGGAGACATTATAACCTTCATATGCAGATCAAATTTCAAGGAGGTCATGCTTACTTAGCTTCCATTAATTTAATTCCTGCACTTGTCAATACAGTGAGGTTGCCAGAGTTTGAAGAACTTCATACAGTACATTAACAAAATTACAAAATTAACCCTTCGTACAGAAAGTACTTTAAAATACAAGACCCACTGCAGTTTTACTGCTGTATTCAGAACCTCTGGAATTCAAATATGATCAACGATGCTGTGGATATTCTCAGTTCAGCCAAAGAGAAAAAGAGAAAGATTTCTGCCAGGCTAAGCCTGGGAAAAAGTCCGAGAAGAATGTAAACAATCTATTATCTTACTTTCTGTTTATATTGTTTATAGATATGTTCTACCACACTGACCTAAGTCCAGTGTACCAATCAGGTGAAATGTTTTTACTTTACAACCAGTGGAATTAACGTTCACGATGTTTTTGATAAAAGAGAGAAGTGCTTTTGAATAAACACTGATTTTGCCTCCTGAAATCGTACGAGTCATTTCACCCACCCCTGGCTCAGCAGCATCACGACCCCACTCGGAAACATCCACCGAGACCACCCACAACAGGGGCAGTCCTCGTTTACTCTTCCCCTAGAAGGGCAAATCTCACACAGAGTAGGCAAAGGCAGACAGACCCAAACTCACAATTTCTACCAGAAATATACTTTTTATGGCACTTCACATCTCGCCTTCCAAAGCACACCTTCAGAGATATCAGCATAAATAAGTTTTATGTAAAATAAGTTACACAGAATTACAGTATTTTGTGATTTAGGGCGTTGCTTGCTTAGGATGAGGAGCTGTATTTGCTGAAGCCTTAGGCTGCCAGCTGTGAGCTCAGAGCAAGGTCTGTTGTGGCTGGGATACAGTTAATTTCCTCAGTAATTTCCCAGTAACTCCTACAGTGCTGGGGCTTGGCTTTAGCAAGAGAAAATTACACCGATCTGTAAATTCCATTATGAGCACTGAATTACTCGGGCCCCACATCACACAAACCCGTTCCCAAGCTGAGGAAAGCAGAGTGTCTAGAGAACGAGGAGCCCTTCTGCAGCGAGGGACTGGAAGCCAAGAGGCTGAGACACAACTTTTTGCAGAGGAATATCTGTTCAAGAAAGCCCCAGCCCAAAACAAGCTCGGGTGCGCACCCCTCTGCCCTTCAGTGAGCTCCCCGAGGGCTCTGATGGCAGGCAAGGGAATGAGGGAATTACACGGCAGCAGGCACAGGGGAGGAAATAAAAAAAAAATCCCCAACAAAACCCTTTAATGCATTAGTTCCCTTCAACACAACGGCAAGCAGAAGGGCTTATGCACGCACCATAACGACCATAACAGGAATACGCAGAATGAAAGAGCCCTACACCCGCTGGAGCACTTCAACCCAGAACCGCCAACAGCCCGGGCTGGAACGGCTCAACCCTGTCCCCGCGGCAGAGCAGGCTCAACGGAGCAGGCGACACCGGAACGCCGCCAGAAGGAGGGAGAGACACCCAGGAGGGAAGCGGACTCGGGATTCCCCCACAACTCCGCCAGCATCCCTCCCGCGCGCCGCGCTCTTCCCAGGCCGAGCGCCGGGAAGCGCCGGGTAAAGGCCGGGAAAAAGCCGGGCAAAGCCCCGCCGGCCTCGCGGGCGGCCGCGGCCCCCGCCCCGCGGAGACTCACCCGCTCCTCGTCCATGGCCGCGGGAATGCGCGCCGCGGGAATGCGCGCCGCGGGAATGCGCTCCCGTCCTGCGGAGCGAGCGCCCGCGCACCGGGCCCGGGATGAGCGCCCCGCCCCGCGCGCGCCCCGCCCCGCGCGCGCCCCGCCCCGCGCGCGCCCCGCCCCGCGCGCGCCCCGCCCCGCGCGCGCCCCGCCCCGCG